AGTGCCACTGGCAGCATTGTTGTAATTTGAATAGCGAGGGACTCGCTTCTTCTCCATCGCTGCTTCGTCCATCGGTTGTTGCGCTAAAGACAATACTCAGTCGTGTGCATGGCTTTGGTCGTGAGTGTCTATGGATGCTGAATGCTTCGCTGTCAGGAAGTCCATGGGTGTATGATGTAAAAAGACTGGGGAATGGTCCTTGTTGTCTTTGCACACATGGGTGCAGTCCTTGGGGCCACTTAGTCTTGGACGTCTGCTTGCATGCATGAGTGTGCTATTGCTCTCTGATTCCCGACTAACTGTCGATCCCCGGGCCTTGCGCACGTGTGAGATCGTCGCCAACCTTCCTATCTTTGCTCCCACGTGCCCGCACCGGCGCTCATCAGGGACATCGGGCGTGAGGACTTAGTCAATCCGCCTGACCTCTCTGCCTCCCGCCATTGCTATTTTGACAACTTGAAGGTGGCAATTTTGGTTGATGACATCGGGCGGACTGCTGGCCTCTTGATAGGTGGGAGTGGGCGGTGTATGGTAAGTTGAGACTTGTATGGAGTCGAGTTCTGCTGCTCTGGACGTCAGTGCGGGTAACTGCCCGTTCTCGAACCTCACATCCATTCGCCATAGCGACCTTCCTCTCTTCCCAATCGCCGTCGAAGATGGTCTCTACTGCGAAACGGATGCACGGAGGGCGCTATTGCGGGCCAATCAGGTTCAGTTTATTTACCCCTCCAACAGGGTTTGTTTTGATTGATCCAATTTCATCAGTTTCTGCCCCATCGCAGATTTTGCCTTATTCGGACTTGATGGTACCTCCCTGGTCGGCGACCCATGCCACGCGGGAGCCTCTTTTTTTTTTTTTGGAAAAAATGCTCCATCTATTGGTGGGGAGCTTCACCTGCTGGAAACCGGGTCCAGCATCCCTGTACATCAGGATCATTCACAAAAATCACACAAGAGCATTCCGCCAGTATTGATTGCCCCAAGTTACCCTGGGGGATTAACTGAGCGGTTAGGAAGGCTTGGAAGCAGAAGGGCCTCTTCACCCCTTTAAACAGGGTGCCTCTTCTAACTTGGTATGTCTAGCACCTTCCATCTCCATGAGCCTGAGAATAGTGTAATTTGTAAAGAAGATGAGTAATGCATAAGGTCTTTTGCTGGTAGCTGCTGTCTGTTTCTTCTGTCTTGTCCCGGCCAAGCTCCTGAACTTCATGTGCTCCATAAACGCCATTGAAGCTGTTCCCGCCCGGGAGGCACGAGGGGTGATGGATGGGGGGGCTTGTCTCGCAGCAGCAGCTGTGGTCACATCTGAATTTCTGCCAGGGAAAGGGGGTGAGGTGGGAAAGGGTCAGGGAAATCTGATTGGGGTCTCATTGGGAAGGAGGGTTCAACAGTGGTCCAGTCATTGAATACTAAATGGTAGTCCCTGGGTGGGCCCTGTCTCGCTGAGCCTGGTCAACCCCCCATTCAACCCGAGCTATCCACCCCTCCCGTTGGCCCCCTAGCCAGTCCATGCAGATGTTGCAATTGCCTGCTTAATGTCCTGCTCGGTCTGAAAGATGTCGAGCCGTAATTTGAGGGTTAAACTTTGCCATCTGAATATTAATTCCAGCTGGACTAGCTCTTTGATTTGCTCTATTAGCTCAGACCCCTCAGAGTTTATTTTCACTCCTTCCAGCGCCAGGAGGCAGCGTTGTCACCAAAGGGCCCAGAGAACTGACCGCCTTCCTAGACTGTACAGGTTGTTGGTGAAGTTGGGGGAGACCGCCATTGCTGGGCAATGTCCTGTTAGTATGGACTGCCAGGACCAGGACCAGTGAGTATTTGGCACTGTTTTGCACCATATGCGGTCCCACCATCGTCCCGTAAATAACGCTACCAAACATTGCATAAAAATGTGTTATATAATCTCTTCCCGCTTGCGTGATGGAAAGGCGCTTATGCACCTTTGGCACCACGGGAGTGCCTTCCCTTTTTGTTCCAGGCGGGGGTGGTCGATTAACCAAGCATTTGTCAGAAGGCCGCGATGCATGATCTGCCATTGTAAGGACGTAACCTTGGCCGGTCTAGCCTTACCCTATTGGAACCATCGAATAAGTGTAAGGAGAGCCCGGACAACATTAAGGTGCCTGTGTGACGAACCACTTCTGTAGCGCACGAGTTTCTGCGCGGTTGCAAAAAGGGGTCCTAAGCTGGGAAGATTGGGCCGCTTTCGGGAAATCGGGATCGGTGGAAAATTGCATCAGTACCCTTGCTTCTTCGCCTTTTTCGTCGCTTCTTCGGGGTTGGGTGTGTCCGGGTACGGCCGGTTGGGAGATTGGTCGGATGGATGTCTGGCGCGCCACCACGCGCGCGACTAATAAATGCTGACGACGTTTCTTTCGTTTCGGGTTCGATCTTTTTGGGCGCGAACATCGCGCGAGAAATTGTTTCGTTCTTTTTGAATTTCCTTTTGAATCTTTTTCGAATTTTGTCGAGCCCCGATGGCTCTCGGAATTTTGGACTTTCTTTCTGGAATGTATGCTTTTTSSTTTTTCGCACTAGATAGGAATTTAGGAATTTAGTAATTAGGACTTTTTCTGCCGCRCTGCGYCTTTTGTCTACGCGCTTTCTCATGCGGCTGCAACGGTACTCTGATTAGTGGGCGCCCTTAATCGTGTGTGTAACTGCAATTTTGGGCRGGCGCCATTRTAACTGTATCTCTCTTTTTACACTTCGTCTCTCTCCCTCTTTCTCTCTTTCTTTTGCTGTGAGCCGCGGCTTGCATGCTCGGATCGATGCGTGGAGAAGGGTTACGTCCCCCACACCGCGGCCGATCATGCAGAACACAGCCGCTCCCACCCTAATCCACTCTAAGTCCTGGTAATTCCGTGTTCTTCGCGCATGCATGCACGCTATAAATTTCGGCTGCACGATTAGTCAGCTCTCTTGACCTATTGTTGGAAGCTCGGGGTTGCGCGATCAGGAAGGGTCGGCACACGAGCGAAGTAAGAGGTGAGTAGAGTGGGAGTTGGGCGACCCGATGGGCTGGTGCCGAACGTGCGGGATTGACGTAGGCCACGACGGACTGTGGGCACGGGCGAATCCGACGGGTGCAGGAGGACTAAGCGGGGTGACAACTTCATGGGTTGGTGCGTGACGACGGACTGTCTGCATCGGAGAGAGAGAGAGAAGGAGGGAAAGTTGAGGTCGATGGACGTGGATTTGTTGTTTCTTTGTTTCTTCCCCCTCTTTATCTGTGTACATACATTTTGATTACGACTCCGGGCAGTTTGCCCGTTCTCATTTTCGTTTTCGGCTTTCGGGAATCGAGACTTGGTTTTTTTTTTTTTTTTTTTGCTCACACTTGTCCTTGCTTTTGTCCATCTCAGTTGCGTGACATGTATGATTGTTGAGTGTATGGATGTATGGATGATATGCTTGCGCACCTATATCACTGCTGAGAATCCCGGTCCTTATCTTTTGTTTCAAATTGTTTGCGTTGAATCTTTGCTCACACCTGACGTAGCTGTAGATGGGATAAGAATCTGGCACCGATGGCGATTTTGTCCTCGTTTTTGCTTATCTCGCGTTGGGGGGGGGGGGTTGTGATATGGTCGCATCTTGCACAATCTGAGGCAATTAAACGACATGAGGATTGACCCCACGAACGCCGCACGAGAACACATGTGAACGCGATCCGAGTCGCGCCCTTACACGCATTCCCGTGCGTCGATCCGCTCACCCAAAAAAATTCGTGGCGAAACCATCATCCCGTACAAGCACGACGCCACTAGGGCTGCCTGCCTTGCGCGTACTTGTGCGTGGTGACGACATCCCTACCGAGCTGACCCATCCACGATGATACCATGACGCGATCTTGGAACTCAGTCTCATCCTACGACACGGACTATTTCACCCCTATGATAAACGGACTCATAAGGACGCGATATCCCTGTCGCACGGAGAATCGGCTATGTCCGCGGGAATTTCACTGCGCCACCTCTAGCGACCCTCGGTGCTCTGATTTCCCTTCTCTCGACCACACCTACTACTTCACCCACCCGGGATTTGTTGTCATCACCACCAGTTTCCCTCCTTTCTACCTTCTTCTCCCATACCATCAACTAAGTGTCATCCTGTGACCCGCCATAGCCCCCTATTGGCCCGACACGTTTTGCGTGAATATCCGACGTAGCGGCGAACAGAGAACTCCGGAATTTCGCAGGCCCAACCCAGGCGCGCGGCGACCTGCGCCACGTGGCGGCCCCCGACGGCCTAACTTTTTGGGACCACCTCCACCGCGGAGGGATTTCCCCGTAACCCGTCGACCACCGTGTCCCGGCCCCTTTGGACCATGAGACCCTTGCGCGTGCACCTCTCATTCGCCTGATTGCATTCATACCCTTAAGACTCCCCCACTTTCCCAAAAATCCTTGGCACACCCCTTTTCGCACTTCCAGGCCCACATCCCACTCCGATCAGGAAGTCGCGTTGGGCGTGAGGTTGGTATCGGAGCTCGACACGTGGCTAGGGTCTTAGGATTGATAGCACGTTAATCAGGCGACCTGGCTAACTGTGGGCGACCTCGCCCTCGGAACGCGTATAGGCGCGACCCTATCGTCATCAGAAGCACAGCAGCTAACCGACGAACAGCCAATATGGCAGCCAACGTGCAAATTCCGGCTCTGCAACATAATGCTAACCAACCTGCCCCACGTGCATGAGCTCCCATGTCGCCACCAGATCTCTATCTATTTGATCCGAGGCACCAACTCGCAGGAGCATGGCTGGCCACGCTTAGAGCACAACAATACGATGATCACGAAGCACAAATCAACATTTCGGCTCGAATGGGAGGAGACGCTCATCATTGGTACAGTACCTATGTATGGGTGGATCTCCAGACCTTCGAACGGGATTTCATGAACCGATTTGATTATGTTCACCCTGAGCAGGCATTGTATATGATCAAGGACCTAGTGCAAAAACCGCTCGAATCCGTTGCGTAATATCGAAACCGGTTCTACAGGATGTTCGTAAAAACTGAGCGAGGTGAGCAAGTAGGGAGAGATCTGTTCATTGACGGACTCCGCAGTCGAACAATAAGGACTAAGTTGCGAAAGCAGTTTTCCCCCATCACTCATACGCTACAGCAAATTATGGCTGCCGCGGAAGAAATGGAACGGAAGTTTGCCGCAAACTTCCTGGAAGGAGAAGACTATCCTAGAGACGGAGATTTGACCGAGCTCGTACGAGCAAGAGCAGAATTGGCTGCTTTGCATAACAAATTTGAAAACATGGGATTTGTATCAAGACCTGTCACTTATATGGAACAGATAGGCCCCAAGCGAGTAATCATAAGCAAGACTCCGAGCATCTCTGCTCCTATGATACCCCCGCCCGTTAGGGCATTCCCCCCGCCACCGGTTGAGGCTCCCGTAAGATCGAATGAATCAACGGCCATTTTCGAACTAACCAAAACGCTGATTAGTTTAATCCAAGAAAGCAAGAAAGAACAGCGAGAGCACAATGCTCGGCTGGAAGCCATGATAAGGAGCATGCGACCTATTGCGGTGCGTGCCCCTCCGATGCAACAAGGATTAGCTCCTGCCCCGGCTCTCGGAGGAGCTGCGAACAATCTGAATGTTTGCTACGCCTGTCATCAGCCCAGACACCTAGCCCGTGATTGCCCCCACCGACCCTAACAACAACGGATGGGAGTCGCACCTATGGCTGCAGCCCCCATCGCCAATGGACCTGGACGAGTCGGAGCCTTGATGGAAGAAGTAGAGGGTGAGGGAAGTGCCCTGGCCACCGCGGAAGAGGCCGCCGAGCTAATTCTGCTATATTAGTATGTGTCGCTGGGATATTCCGGGCTAGGAATGATCGGAACAATCAGACCAGCGCCAGAACTGAGAGAGGTGGCGGAGTGGGGACCGTCCTTAGGAGAAATGGAGTCGGGAGGACCCACCTTTGTCACAGGAGAGATCGATGTATTAAACATCATACGAGCTTTGGACCATTGGATTCCACTACCAATCGATCATCTACTCTCGATCTCCGAGCAAGCCAACAAGCGAATGCTACAGCATTGCAAAGCAAATAGAAAACGATTTGCCCTCGCCTGAGCACCAAGTGCGAAAGCAAAAGGCCCCGCGCCGGAAGAAAACCCAACGAGCACTCCGGACCCAATACGGGTGGGATTAATTCAGAAAGACGATCACTTCTTACGAATTAAACCGATTCCGTGGAAGTCCGCGGAATGTGATATTGAAATTTGGGGAATTCCTTACAACGTGATAATAGATTCAGGAGCAGCTGTGTTGGCTATCTCACTAAGAGTGCTCGAAAGGGCTGGCAGGAAAAACAACCTGATCATGCTTTCTGAGAAAGATCAACTCGTTTCTGCTGATGAAGAAAGGATTAAAACTGTAGGAAGAATGACCAATGTCGCCTTTCACTTGGGTAAAGTGCACGCACTTGGGGATGTCGTAGTACTAGATGTCAATACATACGACGTTCTTTTTGGACTTCCCGCTCTCGTGGCGTTACGAGCAAACCTGGATTTCGAACGACGATCGATCGTCCTCCAAAATACAGGAGGAAAACCCTACGCTGTGCCCATGCGATTGACCCTTCGCACTACCCTTACCGCGGTTCCACAGGTTTCGCCGATGATGACAGGGACTCTTCGCATGATCTCCTGGGATGAACCCGCTGAGGAGAAGTCATCAACTGATGAGACGGAAAGCAGTGATGAAGATGATCCAGAGATCTTGAAATTAGCACGACAGCGTGTTTGTTACCCTCCGCCCAAAACGATAGTGAAAACGATGCAACTAACCAACCGAAAAATTCAAAGAACCAAGGCGATGATCTTGGGAGAGCCCCTCGTGCAGATTTTGAGGATGGTAGACTCTTTGGAACCCCCTCAGACTCTGTACGAAGGGATCACCCCTCTCCTCGCCAGGTATAGCGACAAGAAACATTACTGTGATATTACGGATCTACCCAAGTCCTTATTAACATCAGCTAAAAAAGTGAGATTGTTATGCTTGGGGGCGGAGGCAAGCTCTCTGGAACCCCCTGGGCGTTTCGAAGCAGAAACAAACGGACTAGGGATAAAGATTGCAACTAAAGAAGTGTCGTGGCAGGATGTTTGTGACGGGATTACCTCGGAAGGACACGTGGCCATCCGGGAAGAAGATGCTCAGATGATGGCCACGRTGTTCTCCTSGCGATCRGACCATTCATTCATCTCGGCGCCTCCACCCGACTTGACAAAACAGGCAAATACGAAACAGATCGACGTTCGGATCTGGGACCAACCTTTTGAACTGCACGTTCCACAGTATGTACCAGATGAAATCCACCGGGTAATTGCGAATATTCTAACGGAATATCAAGGAGCGATTAGTATGTAAGACACTGACATTGGGTTGTCGTTAGTAATCCAACATGAAATTCAGACAGGAAATCACTCCCCGATTGATTGCAAACCTTATCGATATTCCTTGATTGAACGCGAAAAGGCTCTCGAACGAATTCGGGAATTCGAAGCCAGCGGTTGGATTGAACCCGCTACCGGACCTTGGTCTTTTCCCGTAGTATTAGTACCGAAGAAAAACGGAGCAATTCGCATTTGCATTGATTATCGCAAGCTGAATGAACTCACGATCAAAGATGTGTATCCCCTCCCCCGGATTGATGATTTGTTGGATGTGATTGGGTGTGCTAATTATTTCAGCAAGTTTGACATTCGACATGGTTTCCATCATATTCTAGTAAGGGAAGAAGATCGACCGAAAACGGCCTTTGTGTTGTTTGAGGGCACGTGGCAGTGGGTTTAGTGTCCGATGGGGATTTGCAATGCGCCTGCCACGTTTCAGCGAGCGATGAAAATGACGTTCCAGAACTTCGTCAACAAGACACGGCTGACGCAGGGAATGATTAACTTATGCGTGATCGTGTACATGGACGACATCCTGGTCTATTTGGAGACCTATCACGGACACGCGCAACACATCGAATGGACATTGAGTGCATTAAGAGACGCTGGGTTCAAGATTGCGCTTGAGAAGAGCGAATTCTTCCTCTCGAATATTTCGTTCTTAGGCTATGTCGTGACACGTGGAGGATTGCGGCCAGACTCGAGAAAAGTCACGGCGGTGAAGGAAGCTCCGGTTCCCACGTCACTGATGCAGGTTCGAGCCTTCTTGGGATTGGCATCATATTACCGGCGTTTCATCAAGGGTTTTGCCGCGATTGCACAACCACTAACGAATCTGTTACGAAAGGACCTGCCTCTCAACTGGGACGCGAAGTGCCAGCAGGCTTTTGCAACCCTCAAGGACGCTTTGGCAACGGCCCCTATTTTGATCCAACCAGACCCCTCGAAGCAGTTCATTCTCATTACGGACTGGCAACCCGAAGCTATCTCTGCTATTTTAGCACAGAAGGGGAACGATGGTCGCGAACACGTCATCGAGTACGCGTCGCGCACCATACCAAACGAACGAAGGAATGACTTGGCCCCTCAAGGCAAATGTTACGCAGTAGTCTGGGGAATCAAACACTTCCATCCGTATCTCTACGGACAGAAGTTTCGCCTCGTGACAGATCACGAACCTTTGCTGGCATTAAAGAAGCTCACCAACTACACAGGCATGACTGACCGTTGGGCGGTGCAATTGCAAGAATACGACTTCGATATCGTCCATCGAAAGACAGAGCGACACGGCAACGCGGACGGATTGACACGTCTGCATCGACCTGCCAAGGTACCAAAAGGCGAGAAAATTACACCGTGGAAAGAGTCGGACCTGACCGACGAGCCGAAATACGAACAAGTGGCGGTTCTTCCACGTGGCAAGAAGTGAAGCGGTGGCGATGGGTGATGGAGGTAACCCCACTACCCCTCTTTCTCCCCCTTCCTCTTCATCTCTCCTCTCCCTGCCTAACAAATTTTGCTATTTTTGTGAGGCTATCTCCCGCGTATACGCGGTCTTCGAGTCCATGCGGCCTAATGGAGAAGGGTATGCGGATTAGATAGATTGCCGACAGTGTGTTGCACGAGCCCATGGCTCGTGCATCCAATACAAAAACGATAGTAAACCATGGTTGTGCCCCTTGTGCCGAACAGACAAGATTCCGACTGAGGCCCGCTTTTTGGATGCCACGTCAGAAGGATTGGAAAAGACCCGGAAGTTTAGAAGGGCCGAAGTATGGACGGATATTGCCTTAATTGCCACCCTAGTAGGTAACCCCTCTCCAGGATTTCGCCAAAGAAGATCGGAGGAGGGCCAACGAAAGGGCTCGAGATTATCGATGGATAGAAGGTAGATTGGAAAAACGAAAAACGAACGACAGTGGGATTTTGATGGTAGTGCCGCATCCGTTCATGCGGTATGACTGGGTTAAGACAGCTCACAAGGAAATTGCGGCCCATTTTGCCGTACAGATCACGGAGTCCGCTATCGACAAAAACGACTGGTATTGGTCCAATATCCGCGACGATGTGAAATACATTGTCGCCAACTGTCAGGTCTGCGCTGCTGACAAGGCGCCGATCCAGCCGCCCAGATCGATAGTGCCCACGGTTGTTGAACTGCCATTTCAAAGAGTGAGCATGAACACTACCGACATAGTGGTGCCCCCTGGCCCTAATAGTTGCGAGTATTCAGTCTTATTGGTATTTGTCGACCATTTATCGAAATGGATCGAAGCGTATCCGTGTCGCACGCGGCAAGCCACGGAAATCGCGCGATATGTCAACCGTTTCCTCGGAATGCATCAAGATACGGAAGAGATCCTGGCCGATAACGAAGCGGAATTCAGGGAAGAAGTGTTAAAGAACCTGGTCATACATGGCGTCGCCATACGGAACACCACACCCCACATGTCGCAATCTAACGGGCTGGTTGAAAACGCCAACCGGGTGATAAAGACCGCATTACGACGAAACATCGCGGTCCGGAATTCGAGGCCCTGGCCCGATATCGTCGATCACATCCTGGCGGTCCATCGCGGAACACCCCACGAATCAACAGGGCTAAGCCCCTTCCAATTAAGGACCAATAGCGTCGCTTGCGTTTCAATACCAAGCCTCCCCGACGAGTCTACCTTGAACCGACGGCCCACCAGGGCCACGGCTAGGGACAAGGCCAAACGGCACCTAGAGCTAATGGAACGGTCACTGCCCAGGCTAGCCCGAAAACGACAGAAAATGACCGAACTAGCCCAAGGCCGACAGGTCCGGAGCTACGAAGCCCGAAATGGGAATGCGGGTCCGCGGACCCAGTACAAATTAGGGGACGTGGTGCAGGTAAGGAAATGTGCTCGCCAGGGTAAGCTAGCGCCACGATTCTTCGGACGATATCGCGTGATCGAGCTCAGCCCCAACGGCGTGAACACTGTGCGTCTCGCCCCGGAAGTCTCAGGCAGTCGATCGGCTCGCCCGATCACACGCCACGTGTCCTATCTCCGCCCCCTCCCCTCCGATCCGACTCCTTCTCCCTCTTTTTCTCTCTCTGAGGAAGCCGAGGACGACGGCTCTGCCTCTCCGGCATCTCCCTCTTCCTCTTGCTCCCTCTCTGCCTCCCCATCACCATCGCCATCGCCATGAGTTTTCTGGAGGAGAGAGCCCTCAGCGAAGCAGCGCTTGCGCCCCGTGATCGACTGACGATCCGGCAGGTCTATCATCCCTACCTCAGTCCAGACCTTCGGCGACTTGCGCACTTCTTCTGCATGGAAGGTGTATACGCCACGGCGGTGTTCAGAATAGAAGGTCGGCCCAACGCATTGGTACTGGCCGAGGTAGTAGCAGTTCATCAGCGAGCGGTACCAGGTGTCAGCCGCATATCAGTCGTCATCAACTTCTGTGGCGATCTTTCCACACTCCTCCCTTTACGACATTCGGTGGTGAGGACATCACTGCGCGCGTGGGCAAACGACCTGGTCGCCGAGTGGACCCAGCTTCTGGCTCGCCCCGGGGACACGGTCGCGACGACACGAGCAATCGAATACGACGGCCTTCGGATGTACCGACGTGATCCACCGGCGATCCTCCTTTTTGTTGTTCCTTTCCCTCGTCCCAAATGAGTCTTTCTCCGATCTCCATTTTTTATCTCCCCTCCACCTTAACCACCTTCTGGCAGTCCGGTATCCATCCTCGCCTTTCCTACTGCCTAACGACCCTTGCTGTCCCCGACATTCCTCTCCCATATTGGAACCTGTGGCGCGAAGACTTCGTCGAGCTTTCGCTGTGCTTGGTTGAGGTACGACTGACGTGGACCGGGGACGAAGCGCACCCGCCTTGCATAGAGCGACTGGAGTTACTGTTTATCCAGGCTTGGCGCACCAACGTGGAGGGAGAACTCCGCGCATCCTTATTCGGGACAGTACGGCCCGGTCATCAGGAACTGATCACGCAAGAGCTCACGATCCCGGTAGCGGGATGACGATCTCCCTCTTGACATCATCTCGCAAGACGACGAGCATCCAGTTCCCCATGTTCTTTCTCGCACCTTGACACCTCATCTTCAGTGGTCGGCTTGCGTAGAAGGAGCCGCGGAACGCATCCCGCCGTCACAACGACAACATTTGGATCCCCGGGCGATTCGCGACCCTGCCTTCTTCAGGCAGCCTACGGCGGAACAGTTTGCTGCCATTCGGGAAGAAGACGAGGAGGAGGAGAGTACCGAGAGCGACGAAAACGAAGGCGGGCTGGAAGAAAGCGGAGGTAGCGAAGAAGTATCCAGAGAAAACAAAACCCCCGAAGAAGGAAGTTATAGCGAGCATAGTGAGGGGGAACAAAGCGAAGAAGAAGAAGAGGACGAGGAGGAAGACGAAGGGCACGAAGAAGAATCTGTCGGATCAGAGTGGGAAGTCGTGCCGGAAGAAGCGTTGCGCACAGGTACAGAAGCAGAGGACCCCGAGGAAGCCCGTAAAAGAGAGGAGATCACGGCCAGGAAGACGGAGTTAGAACTCACAGGCGCGGCGAGTCTGTAGATCTGCGACGACCCAAACCGAGATCAAGAGCCGCCCCGACCCGAAGATGGCAACCTCGAGGCCACGACTCCGGCCCCATCGGCACGGCGACGAAGCCGATCCCCCTCCTCCCCAACCCGTCCCCCAGTTCGCCAACGTACCGATACGGGCGATCGGCCTTCGTCCCCGATCGCTCTCTCGCCGTCCCCTTGACTAATTCACCCTTCGCCAGTTCATCACCCCCGTCACGTTCCCCTCCAATCCGTTACCCCGCAGTACCTTCCGCCACTTCTACGCCGTTCGCCTCGCTGTCGTAGTGCATCCCCATCCCTCCCTCCGGTGCGCCGTCCCGGCCTTTTGCCTCCATGTCTTGCTTTTCAGTGCCGCGTGGCGAGGCCACAATATGATTGAGGTTTATTGCGTGATAACAGGGACCATCCCCGCATGCGAAGATCGCGATCATTTCGTGCTACGCTCTTCCGAACCTTTACCACCCTCTACCCCGACTATCTCTCGTCCCTCCCTCGCACTAGCAATCGATTCCTCCATCTCCATCGCATTGTCCGTTACCAAGAACTCTCGGAGACTGCAGCCGGGATGGAAAGGTTCCTGGCCCCCGCTACCCCAAAGCCCTCCGCCACGCCATGCCGCCATGTACCAACTTCCTTTCCCCCTCCCGGTTAATTACTGATGCAGCAGGTAATGGACGCGTGTCACGGCGACGGCACGAGGAAGATCCCGTCCTTGAATTGTCAAGAGCCCAATCTAAGGAGATAGTAGAAGAGCCAAGTTGCCACGTTGGATGACGTCCACACACAATCAAACGGTAAGTGGCATAACGAGAAGTGCTCCTCGTGTCGATCGATTAGAAAAATCGACACGTGTCAACAAGCAAGCAGGAGCTTGCTAATATTGGAACCCCCTGGGCGTCACATATGTGACGAACCACTTTTTGTAGCGCACGAGTTTCTGCGCGGTTGCAACAAGGGGTCCTAAGCTGGGAAGATTGGGCCGCTTTCGGGAAACCAGGATCGGTGGAAAATTGCATCAGTACCCTTGCTTCTTCGTCTTTTTCATCGCTTCTTCGGGGCTGGGTGTGTCCGGGTACGGCCGGTTGGGAGATTGGTCGGATGGATGTCTGGCGCGCCACCACGCGCGCGACTAATAAATGCTGACGATGTTTCTTTCGTTTCGGGTTCGATCTTTTAGGGTGCGGACATCACGCGGGAAATTGTTTCGTTCTTTTTGAATTTCCTTTTGAATTTTTTTCGAATTTTGTCGAGCCCCGATGGATCTCGGAATTTTGGACTTTCTTTCTGGAATGTATGCTTTTTGCTTTTTCGCACTAGATAGGAATTTAGGAATTTAGTTATTAGGACTTTTCCTGCCGCGCTGCGCCTTTTGTCTACGCGCTTTCTCATGCGGCTGCAACGGTACTCTGATTAGTGGGCGCTCTTAATCGTGTGTGTAACTGCAATTTTGGGCGGGCGCCATTGTAACTGTATCTCTCTTTTTACACTTTGTCTCTCTATCTCTCTCCCTCTCTTTCTTTTGCTGTAAGCCGCGGCTTGCATGCTCGGATCGATGCGTGGAGAAGGGTTACGTCCCCACGCCGCGGCCGATCATGCAGAACGCAAGCGCTCCCTCCCTAATTCACTCTAAGTCCTGGTAATTCTGTGTTTTTCGCGCATGCATGCACGCTATAAATTTCGGCTGCGCGATTAGTTAGCTCTCTTGACCTGTTGTTGGAAGCTCGGGGTTGCGCGATCAGGAAGTGTCGGGACACGAGCGAAGTAAGAGGTGAGTAGAGTAGGAGTTGGGCGACCCGACGGGCTGGTTCCGAACGTGCGGGATTGACGTGGGCCACGATGGACTGTGGGCACGGGCGAATCCGACGGGTGCAGGAGGACTAAGCGGGGTGACAACTTCATGGGTTGGTGCGTGACGACGGACTGTCCGCATCGGAGAGAGAGAGAGAAGGAGGGAGAGTTGAGGTCGATGGACGTGGATTTGTTGTTTCTTTGTCTCTTCCCCCTCTTTATTTGTGTACATACATTTTGATTACGACTCCGGGCGGTTTGCCCGTTCTCATTTTCGTTTTCGGCTTTCAGGAATCGAGACTTGGTTTGTTTTTTTTTTTTGCTCACACTTGTCCTTGCTTTTGTCCATCTCAGTTGCGTGACATGTATGATTGCTGAGTGCATGGATGTATGGATGATATGCTTGCGCACCTATATCACTGCTGAGAATCCCGGTCGTTATCTTTTGTTTGTGTCGAATCTTTGCTCACACCTGATGCAGCTGTAGATGGGATAAGGATCTGACACCGATGGTGATTTTGTCCTCGTTTTTGCTTATCTCGCGCTGGGGGGGGGGGTTGTGATATGGTCGCATCTTGCACAATCCGAGGTAATTAAATGACATGAGGATTGACCCCACGAACGTCGCGTGAGAACACGTGTGAACGCGATCCGAGTCGCACCCTTACACGCATTCCCATGCGTCGATCCGCTCACCCAAAAGATTCGCGGCGAAACCATCATCCCGTACAAGCATGGCGCCACTAGGGTTGCCTGCCCTGCGCGTACTTGTGTGTGGTGACGACACCCTCCCGAGCTGACCCATCCATGATGATACCATGACGCGATCTTGGAACTCAGACTCGTCCTACGACCCGGACTATTTCACCCCTATGATAAACGAACTCATAAGGACGCGATATCCCTGTCACACGGATAATCGGCTATGGCCGCGGGAATTTCACTGCGCCACCTCTAGCGACTTTCGGTGCTCTGATTTCCCTTCTCCCGACCACACCTACTACTTCACCCACCCGGGATTTGTTGTCATCACCACCAGTTTCCCTCCTTTCCGCCTTCTTCTCTCGTACCATCAACTCAGTGTCGTCCCGTGGCCGGCCATAGCCCCCTATTGGCCTGACACGTTTTGCGTGAATATCCGACGTAGCGGCAAACAGAGAACTCTGGAATTTCGCAGGGCCAACCCAGGCGCGCGGCGACCTGCGCCACGTGGCGGCCCCTGACGGCCTAACTTTTCGGGACCACCTCCACCGCGGAGGGATTTCCCCGTAACCCGTCGAGCACCGTGTCCCGGCCCCTTTGGACCATGAGACCCTTGCGCGCGCACCTCTCATTTGCCTAATTGCATTCATACCCTTAAGACTCCCCCACTTTCCCAAAAATCCTTGGCACACCCCTTTTTGCACTTCCAGGCCCACATCCCACTCCGATCAAGAAGTCGCGCTGGGCGTGAGGTTGGGCGTCACACCTGGTCCACCTGTGAATGATCCGGTCGCGTTGGGGTCTTTTGGGTTAGAGCATCTTGTACACGGATTTGACCAATAGATAATGAAGCTGGACTGTTTTTCGAGGTACGGCGGTTGGGCCTCTGGTTGTCTGCCATTGCCATTCATTGGGGTCAATGGGCAGATCCTGGATGGACGTCTGAGGCTGGAAGGGGATGAGGCCATCCCCTTCTCCTATGACCCTTATTATGAACAACCCAGTTTTCTACCGCCATTCAAAAGGGTCGCAGGATCCTTGGAGTGTGCCCCTTGGGCCTATCTTAAATTGTTCTACTACTAAGTCCGAGGGACGTGTCATGTGGATTCTGCGAATCCGATTCGGGTCCCCTTGCAGGGTGACCCAGTCTCCTTCCTGTAGTGTGGGCCCTTCCTTCAGTAGTCTATACCATGTTCGCGGGATCGCCTCAATGACTATTTATACGTGAATGTCTGCATGGTGGCAATATCATAGGGTATCCTGAAGCTGGGTTATTGTCTTCCAGTCCCTCCTTTTGTTGTCCCATAGGTGGCCGACTCGAAGTACCCCATGTTTGACCCATCCTTTCCATGGGGCCACTAAGCTACACAGAACTTGACCATGGCAGGGTGCAATCCTCCGATTTCCGAAGAGGGGCTGACGGTAAACCTCCTTCCAGATTTTCGGGGTTTGTGCATCGGGGAGGGGGAGACGACGCTAACTCTTCAAGAGTGCGAGCCATAATTTTTCCACCAGACTGCCTTGGATTTTGTGGGGGATCGACCAGTAATGATCCTCCAGCCATGTTAAGGGGTGCACCTCTACAAGGGTTAGTGGGGCCACACGGGCACTGCGCTCAAGAGTCAGGGTCTGCCAAGGGCAACCTGCCGCGAATACAAGTTTTTACAGCCACTTTAGGTAGAGGGCTTGGGTCTGTGTTGGAGGGTCTATAATTCCTAGGCCTCCCCCTTTTTCGGTTGTATGATTGTTTCTCACGCCACCCGACTGATTACGTTGGCCCGTTCATCGTCCCCCCACCATAAGCAGGCTGCAACGTTGGCTTTGAGGGTCTGGTAAGAAGCTTTGCTTAATGATCATAGAACTGACTTATACCACAGTGTGGCAAACACAACATTATTGATCGTCAGTGCACGGCCGAAGATGGAAGTATGTTTGTTTTTCCACTTGGCCAATTTGATGAGCACAGGTGGCCAGATCTAGTCGTCGTTGGTCTGAGGACGCCCCAGGGCCGTCATCGTGACGCCTAGGACGTGGACTAGTGCTTCCAGAGGAAGCCACGATATCCTGGGAGAGTCCGGCGGGCGTCCCCCTTGGTGGTGGATCCACCATCCTTGGGTTTTACTCCCGCAGTTCACCACAAACAGCAATTTCGTCAAAACAGACATTTTATATTTTTTGAACGGAATTGAAATTGTGGTTGTTAGAGCACACCATTTTGGGGAGGTACCCCACATTTGTTTATATTTTGTGCTTATGTTGACCACAAATTTCACATCGCTTTCTCACAACTTTTGAGGGGTGTTACAATTTTATTGCCATTATGTGAAGCTATAGGGGTTTTTATGATAAGTTTTTCTGTACTTTCAATCATACCGATTAACATTTACTATGTTTCGCAAAAACAAAATCAACAATTTTTTGTATTTAATCGAAAACCGCATTAAGAAAAGAGAAACATATTGAATATCATACTCAAAAACACATGTCATGTTTGGTAAATGACAAAAAAACTTCATGGACGTCTACAAAATTTGGAGACATATGACACATGTTCCATTTAAATTCAAACACACCTAAAAAACACAA